GCTTCTTTTATGTAGGATGGTCAGGGAAACTCCATTGAGGAAGTGACATTTATGCTGTTACCAGAAGGAAGTTATGTAGAGTGATTGGTGGGGGGGGGGGAACCAGAAGAGCATCTTGGGAAGAATGAAGAGCTAAAGCCCTGAAATAGAAAAGAGCATGACATTTCTAGGAACAGAAAAAAATCAGTGTGACTAGAGCATAGTGTGAACCAGGTGGAAGTGTATTAAATGGGTGGAGAAATAATACAGAGGTTAGATTTTATTAAACATGCAAATAAGAAAAATACTGACAGATTTTAAGTAAGGACTTATCCCAACTTGATTTGTATGGACAGGGATCGATTTGATTTCTCTTTGGAGGAAATACTGAAGGAAGATAAGATGGAAGCTTGGAAGTTAGTTAAAAGCCTGAGCAGTGATGATGGTTTGATTCTAAGTGGTACAATTGGAAACAGAACACAAGATAGATAGTGGAGAGAGAATGAATGGGATTTGTTAATGATTTAATAGTTGTGACAGAAAAGGAGAAATAAAAAATAAAAATTAGGCTTCTGTTACAAGTTACTGTGTGTATACTGGTGCATTTACAGATATAAATATGATTGAGATTTGGGATGGGTTTAAAGAAAGGATAGATCAAGACTTCTATGTTCTGTTGAGTTGGCTATGAGACAATCTGGTGGACTAGTAAAGAATGTGGTAGTAAAATGTGAATCTAGAGATCTCAAATATATAATAGATCTGACTGGAAATATAAATTCGCGAGTCGTTCCGTGAAGGAGCTCACGCAGAAAGAGAGAGGTGGGTACAGGATTGAGCTTGTAATGTATCTTAGTAGTACTTAAAACTTAGGTAGGGACTGGGCAAGGTAGCCCACACGTCTGTAATCCCAGCACTTTGGGAGGCTGAGGCAGGTGGATTGCTTGAGTCCTGGAGTTCGAGACCAGCCTGGGCAAAATGGCAAAACTCCATTTCTACAAAAAATTGAGCTGGGTGTGGTGGTGTACAACTATAGTCCCAACTACTCAGGAGGCTGAGGTGGGAAGATCGCTTGAGCACTGAAGGTAGAAGCTGCAGTGAGTCCTGATCACACCACTGCACTCCAGCCTGGTTGACAGAGCCAGAATCTGGAAAAAAAAAAGAAGTCGACTGAGCGCGGTGGCTAAGGCCTGTAACCCTAGCACTTTGGGAGGCCAAGATGGGTGGATTGCCTGAGCTCAGGAGTTGGAGACCTGCCTGGGCAACATGGTGAAACCCCATCTCTACTGAAATACAAAAAATTAACCGGGCATGGTGGTGCATGCATGTAGTCCCATCTACTTGGGGAGCTGAGGCGGAAGAATCGCTTGAACCCAGGAGGTGGAGGTTGCAGTGAGTCGAGATCGTGCCACTGCACTCCAGCCTGGGCGACAGAGTCGAGACTCCATCTGAAAGAGTAAAAAAACAGACAGAGGAAGAGGACTCAATATGGCAACTGTTGAGGAAAATAAGGGTTAAGGAAATTTAAATTTGTAGGTAATGATGTTTTGGAAGCTGACAAAACATAATGGTTACAGAAGGAAAGATTGTGTTTAATGCTATTAAGAAGTCATATAATATGAGGATAGAGAAACAAACGATGGTATAAAATCTGGAACATAGAGATGATTGGTAAGAAAATTCAAGAACAATGTTTATAATGCTTCATAACTTCCTCCTAGCTCTTAGGGTAAATATATATTTCTTGGAACCTGCAAGGCCTGGCAAGGTTTGGCCGTCATCTCCCTCCGAAGACTCCTTATTTTCCAGGCTCTGCTTCTTTCTACGTCAGCCACACATATCTCTTCCTGTTCCTTGAACACAGTCTCCTCCTTTAAATTTATTATTTCTGCCTAGAATACTTTCCTTCTCCTCATACTCATTTAACTTGTATTATTTTCTTCAGGTCTAGCTCCATTGCTTTTTATTCCAGGCAAACTTCCCAACCTCCCAAATAGACCAAATATCCTATTATATGCTTAAATCAGAATGTGAAGTATTTCCTTTGTGATGAAAGTGTCATGATGATTGGATAATTAATTATTGTGTCTTCCACTAAAGTATAGATAGGGAACAGAGCATGACTGTTTTTGCTCACCACCATTTTTTTTCCTCTTGTCAGGTAAAATGACTGGCTTACGTAGGAGTTTGCTCTGTATTTGTTGAATGAATGAGTGAGTGAATGAATGAATGAATGAATGAATGAACGAATGAGTAACATCTGCCTCTGTAGTTAACTTGTAATCTGTTTCTGTCTTTATATAACCTCTACTGTATGTAGCCTTAAAAATCTGGAAAATGACTTGATTGATTTAAGTAAATATTAAGTTTTTAAGCTTTTAAAAATCTATTGTAAGTTGATTAGCTATGATTATTTTGAAATTTTCTTCATCAAAGTTTGAGATGACTTTGGATACATACTGTTTTCAGCTACTCAATAAGTGCCATTATATTTATTATGTATGAAATCTGGTGTTACTTCCTGGCCATTTCCTGGTCTCAGTTGTTCTTTGCAAAATACCCATTTATCAGCAGCCAGCCCACCCTCCCTCTGGGAATCAGTGAGAGTGGATCACATCAGTATGTCATAAATACTCCTTCTATTTTCTTTGAGAGTTTTCTGCTGATGCAAGTGGAAGGCTTGGATGCCAGACCTGTATGTGATACAGTAGAAATTTCCCCAGATGCCCTGTGGAAAGACCAGCTGCTACCCAGAGTCTTTCCTGGATGTCCTGCTTAGTGTAGTATAACATCAAGGGCAGCCCAGCTCTGTCTCCTAACAAGCTGCTAGGGCCTTCCCTCTTGCCTGCCCACCTGACAGCCTGGACCTCAGGCTATCAAACCTCTGGGTTGCCATTGTCTCCATTCTGTGCCATCAGAATTGTATATACATTTATCTGCTGATGTCTCTGTATTTCAAGCTCTATGTCTTTATGCCTTTATAATATACAATATAGATTTTGTTACTTAAAATTCTAATATTTCCTATAGACACTAAACTCAATTTTAACACAATAAATACGTTAAAACATTATATACGTGTTGGATTAACACATATAATGCAACTCATTTGTTGCTAATCTATCTTGGATTCCTTGGGTAGAATCTGTCTTCTCACCTGTTTGAAATGGAATTGAATCTCCTAACTTTTTACTGTTTTTGTAAAGCCACAAAGCCCTTTTAAAATGCCTGTTTAAGGCTGCTAAACTTACATTGTATAGAGTATATTTTATATACTTTTCTTCCTTTTAAAAGATCATATACACTTTTCTCTTGGCCTCTCATTTTGCCAAATATTCTGCCATAACAGTAAGCTAACAGCACACAAGTATTTGCTTAAAGATATTTAAAGCTAATCCCCAAAGAGTTTTCTGTTGCAAACGTATTTTAAGACGTAGGCTGAGGAGATGAGTATTCAAATCCATGAATTCTGACCCTGATGTTTTATTAGGCCTACCCACATGAAAATTAGTGCTTACTTGCACAGTTATCTTATTTAAAAATACATTTGCAAAAAGAGAATAATTTCATTTTCACTGATTCAAAGGTCTATCTTTTAGAGTATTATAAACTTACATAGTACAAAAAGATTGGTAAAAAGGAAAGCAAAATGAAACTTGGAGACTTGGGTTCTAAATATAGCTTGCCTACATCCTAGCTGCGAGATCTTAGACAAATCAACTAACCTCTCTGAACATCACAGATAAAATGGGGAGTAATAACATTAGCTCAAAGGTATTGTACAAATTATACAATGTATGTAAAGTGCAAAGCAGTTCTGGCACATAGTAAGTGCTCCATAAGTTAAATATAATAATAATCATAGTAAAATAATATTCTTAACTACAATCTTATTAAAAGGTTATTACCTAGAGTTTAAGCTATGGGGTTATGTCCATTTGCACAAAGTGTGATAGAAATTTGGCTCTGTGGTTCCTAGCAGCCAATGTAAGAGTAAAACAAAAAAGTTTGTAAATATCAAAAGATTTATTTACTTAAATATAAGAATCCTACAATAATCTTCCCAACTAGAGTTTGCAGAATTACCACAGGGGCTCTGTCTGTCTAAAAGTCCCCCAAGCATCATCTATTGTTCAAATAAATGAATTGCACATGTGTATACTTTTATTTTTAAAGGCATATAAATGTTGTATTAATAACACCAATTCATTTAATTGTATTGTTGAATTTATACCTTTGCCAGTAAGTGTTTTCCTAATAGATGGACTTAACTAAGAACATCAGAATTATGAAGAGCATTGTGTATTAATTAGTTGTCTTATTTGTCAAAAAGTTGAAAAAGCATTGCTGAGGAAAAGGAAACAGGTTAACTTTTGTTAAAGATATCTCTTGTTTTTCACTGTTCTTTCCCTCTTCAGTAGCACCAAGAACATCCTAAGTCACAGAAACATTAGTTTTTGGAAGCAGGGTTTGCTGTAACTATAGTAGAAATGGCATTCTGATTCCACTCCTAGCTTCACAAGGATATCTGTGGAAGATTTGGGGCAAAACTGTTAAGCTGTCTGAAAGTGCTTTTGCGTAAGAAATGGGTTTTACTGCTAACACTGTCATATTGCGGAGTTTTGAATGCCCTAATGGTAAATGATACTGGTGCCAAAAATAACCAGACTGGTAGTTTTTTCATTCATTTGGCCATCTTATTAAGTCAAATATTGATACTTTCTACTAAGTCAGGTACTGTATCATCTTGCCAACCCCTATTTTGTTACACTCATGCTGAATCTGTTTCTCATCTCTTAAGTAAGAAAATTATTGATTATTTTGTAGGGATTTAATTTAAAAAAAAATCGTAATGGATACTGTAAAGGAGCAGTATTTGGATAGTTTAAAAACATCTTCCTTGATGGGAAAATCTTTTAAAAGGCTTTCTAACTTGGTGTAATTACTTGAATTAAGGAAGTGCAATGCCATTCTACTAACTTAGAACAACTTTTTTGACTTCCTGCAAAGAGGACCCTTACAGTATTTTTGGAGAAGTTAGTAAAACCGAATCTGACATCATCACCTAGCAGCTCATGCAGCTAGCAAGTGGTTTGTTCTTAGGGTAACAGAGGAGGAAATTGTTCCTCGTCTGATAAGACAACAGTGGAGAGTATGCATTTATTTATTTACTTTTACATTTTTGATTCGTTTTCACAGAGAAAACTTCTACAGAGATAACAATTATTTTGCCTTTCAGAAGGACGCATGCTGTTTCTTAGGGATACGGCTGACTTCCAGATATGACCATGTATTTGTGGCTTAAACTTTTGGCATTTGGCTTTGCCTTTCTGGACGCAGAAGTATTTGTGACAGGTAAGTACAAGGATATTAATATTTTTTAAATTATTTTTTCTTTTTTGTTGGAATGTTTGAAATAGACATAAAAATACTTTAAATGTATTGGTAACTGGAAGTGAGAAGCCTGCTATAAACCGTCAAGATTGTTGTCTCAGGGAGACACAGGCTTGTTGTGTGACAGAACACATTGTTTCTGTTTAAAAAGACATAAATGTTCGGGGACAAAAAAAATACAATTTTAAAAGAAAAGCATTGTCTATCTCTATCTTTATTTACAACTGTTCAAAGATATTACAAAAGCAACATTATTACTTAACCTCCGAAGTGACAATAACATACATTTATAAAAGCCTGAGAATTTTTTTAATGATAAAATAAGTGAGTTTTTATTCTTTTAACAAATTTGGTCTTTTAAAAAGTCATAAGACAGCTTTGGTTGTATGTAAGCCACTCCCTCTTTCCAGACCTGAAGTTTGCTTCCTCAAATTTTGAGTTTAATTGACATATTTTATTGAATACTTGGGTATATAATAGTTCAAAAATATATTGAGATATTTAGTAAAATATTAACTTTCTGCAATTTTTATCACTGAATGTATTTTAAATCAAGTTTTTAGTTTCTTGTTAGTAGTTTTAATACATTTTTGCTTTAGAAATTCTTGTGGAGCCACCGCCCTTCCTGGGTGGTGGGCAAATATTACAGCCTTGATGAGATAGAAATATTTAAACTCTTAAAATCATGCAAATGCTGTATTCCGTAGGAAAATGTAACTAGTTGGACTTCCAATGCCTATTAAAGTTTGAAATCTTTGCACGTTTATCCTCTATTCAATGGATAGTTCTTGAGCGGTGTCAATATGAATCATGAGTGCATTTCAATAGATTATATAATGTAACTAATAATGAATATTTAATATTTCTCTTTATGATGTAGTATCTGAAAGGACATTGAAAATAAAACCTTTGTAGAAATTGCAAAAAATATAAAAAGTATTTTAAAACAACTTGCTTATTACAATTCACTTTGAAGTCTTTTTTTGACTCTTACCGTTCTCCTTTCCTCTGAAAGTCAGGGAAGTAGCTATCTCTTGAGCATGTTACACTGTCAATTTCTATTTGGAGTAACCTAGGAGAGAGGAAAGAAAAACAACATAAGATAATTTTTTGTTGTTGTGGCTGTTTTGTTTTTTATCACAAAGATGAATTTTAAAAAAATCTATATAGACACAGCATTTGTCTTAGTACAGAAAATGTTTATCAAGTTACCATCCCTTTAAAGCTTATCATAATAAAAAGTAAATTATAAAGAATAATAATTTCAGCGAAGTGATAATGTATATTATTACAAATCAGAACAGATTTTCATTTAAAATTCCCACTCAGGAAATGTTGAAAAGCATTTTTAAATGACCATAAAGAAATACTGAGACGTTTTGTAAGCCAGAATACGTTTCTTCTCTCTATACTCATTTAGCTTCTGTTATTTTCTTCAGGTCTAGCTCCATTGCTTTTTATTCCAGGCAAACTTCTGAACCTCCCAAATAGACCAAATATCCTATTATATGCTTCAATCAGAGTGTGAAATATTTCCTTTGTGCATAAAAATTCAACTCATACTATTACAGGACTTTTTAAACCATAAGACACATCTTTGAATTTGTAATTGAAATAAGAATATAATGGGATCTAGAAACCTTTACATCAGCTTTGCTCAATAATTTATACCATAGCAAATAAATGGATATACATAGATTTATTTTGAAAAATCAAGTTTATCTTCAGTTGCTCACATAAATATTGAGAGCAAACATTTTTCTAAAAGACATTTGTAGACTCCCTGAGATATATGCTTTTTTGTGGAAAAACATATACAGATATAATCATTTGTATCTGCAAATATTGTTTATAATCCTTTCAAGTTGCAAGAAACATTTTGTGATTTGATGTATAATTTGGAAAATTCTCAATGCTTTAAATTATATATTTTTCTTTTTTAGCAACAAATGAGTTGGATTCTATGTTTCATTTTTACGTGTCAAAATTAGTTTAGTGCCTACAGGAAATAATAAACTTTTGGGGAACAAATTTTATACTGTATGCTCTAAAGCATAAAGAAATAGAGCCAAACGTAGAAAGCCATCAATGGTAACTCTATGCACAATTCAAATATTTTATTTAATCTCTAAAATGCACACATGGACAAGGCCAAAGTGAGTCTTTGGCAGTGCAACATCCAGGCAGGGTTCAGTTTTACTGAAGACTTCCTAATCCTCTTGCTCTGTGCCTCTTTGTGATGGCAACTGGAAACCAAACTTTATTTAAAATTTCTAAATAATTTTAGGGGACAATGATGGTTTTAAGAATGCAGGCGAGGGTGAGTGTTCTCTGGTTCTAATAAAGTTGTAATGCCAGGCAGATCTAGCACACCATAGCATGGCAGTTGAGAGTATATGGGTTATGCTATGTGAGGTACATGATGAGTTTTGTTATGAGTCATAACAGTTAAGACTCATTTCCTGGACATAATTCTTCATTTTTCCATCTGTATTAAAAATATATATCTCATGTTATAAACATGGGCTGTGCCTTGTACATCACAGACATTCAATGAAAATTATTTAATTGAATTTGGTAAGCAGTCCTTTTAAGTTCTAAATACTGTATAATTTAGAGATTTGGGAATGTGAGTAGAATTACTTATTGATTTGAAAAAAAATTCTCTCCTAAAAACCTGCCTGTGACCCTTACCATTGCTAGAATTTGAAATGTACTTTGTTACAGGAAAGGCTACGAGGGGTTAGGGCCTATATTACCTTTTTCTCTTTTGTTCTGTGTAACTAAGTATAGGGGCAGAGTAGTTAGCTTGAACTTAGTTCATATACATGAACATATATTTCTTTATATATATGCACACACATAAACTAGTTATATATTTGTGGGTTATATATACTAGTCTGTCTGTCTATCTATCTATCTATCTATCTATCTATCTATCTGTCTGTCTGTCTGTCTGTCTGTCTGTCTGTCTGTCTGTCTATCTATCTATCTATCTATCTATCTATCTATCTAACTATCATCCATGTTTGTCTATTTGGCGTTTCCATGAACTTCAGACTTTGGCCTGTGTTGTTCTTTTTTCTCCACTTGGTTACATATCATTGCCTACCACGTGTTGATCACTCTGATTCTCCATCTCTAGATTCATCCCTCAGAAACATGGAACTTACTTCCTTTCCTAAATCCAGACATTGACATGCTCCCCAAGTCCTGAAATTTTGCTTTGTAATAATCTCTAACAACTTCTTGCTTTGACATCTCCATTGCCATCATCTGAATTCATGGCTTTATTATTTCTCACCTGCAAAATTGTAATTTTTTTTAATCAGTCTGAAGTCTCATCCTTTTTTTTAAACATAATCTGCAGATTAAAAAATAAAATAAAAAGCAAAGGGATACTGATTTCTTCTCATTGCCTTTGGTATAAATTCTAATCTTTTTTGCCAGAGAAACTGATTCCACTAATGATCTGGGGACTAGGCCTGGAGCTGGGAAGGGATTTTTTTTTTCTTCTTTCTTTCTTTTTCTTCTATGATTGATTAAAAGGAAATAAACAGGAGGTAGTTTTAACACCCCCCTCTATACTTTCTCAAGGTGTTTAAGACTCTGGGCAAATCTTACCTCTTCTATTACGTTCTCTTATGTCACTTTTGCCACAAAATATCTCCACTGATTTGCACACTTTTTATCACCTTTTCTTAGCATTTTTCAAGTCATTTCAATTTGTTGTTGTAATGATGATTGATGATGATGATGACATGTGAATTAGTGGATTTACTGACATTGTAACCTACATGAAATCAGGTATAGGAGACACAAAAGGCATAAACACATAGTTCCCATATCTGATTTATCGCCAGGCACTGAATAAATCATAGATTTTAAAACAATAAAACTGCAGATTATAGTGATAAAGGAAAGGAAAATTTTCAAAGAGGGAAGTCAAAAAGAGGGAGAATATGCGATAAAAAAAATTAACCAGAGGCAAAGTGGGAGGATGAAGGTAGCAGGACTATTTTGTCCAGATTAAATAAATTGATTTTAGATCTAGATGTTTACAGGCTTGCCTTTTTGTTTTTGTTTTGTTTTGTTTTGTTTTGTTTTGTTTTGTTTTTTCTTTGCTCCATTCTTTACTCTTGTTATCTCACCTCTTGTCTGGAAAGATCCTCCTGACTTCCTAAAAGTTCATAGTTTGAGAATGTTGTTCCTAAATTTTCTTTGGTCTGCTCTTTGGACATTCTAGGTAATGTAATTTGGAGGGCCAATTTTATTCTTCAGATACACATACCCGTAGGGAGAAAAGTTGCGAATGGGAGGGAAATACAAATCTAGCAGAGTGATAACACAAACAGATCAGGTCCAGTCCTGGCAATTGCTGGTTAGAGCACTGATGCTAGTGCTCTGGGATTGCTTGCAAAGGCAGATGGAATATGGTGCACTCCACGTGTTGCATTATTTGCACACCAAAAGTTTGTAGAGAGCTGGGAATAATTTCTTTTCAGATAGTGTAGTGATGAATGTCAATCTGAGTAGGTAAGGGGCACAGATTTGTACTGAGGTTGGTTCATTCTCTTGGCAAATATACAGTGTTCACAAAGACAAGATTTCATCTTCAGACCATGTGTGTATATGTCAGCTTGGTGCAGAGAGAGAAATTTTTCATTAACGCTGAACTTTGATTTTTTTTTTCTAGACATCATATAGGTTTATGTAGTTATTTACATGGGAAACAATTAGAGTGGAAATTTAACATATCTTCAGTTTAAAATTAGTTTCAATCTAGTCTAAATATCTTTGTAAGTACTAGACACCCAACCCCATAGCAGTGGCCTAATACCAAAGGGTTAGTGCTATGACTTTTGCATACATAAAGACAGCACTTTTTAGGGTATGATACACTGAAAAAAAATATGGCAAGACTTTAGCAATATGATGTGATGTCTATTTCTATGTAATAT